ATATCCCTCAACACGTGTGGTGGCACATGCCTATTACCCCAACACTTGAGAAGCTGAGGCAGGAGGATAGAAAGCTGGAGGCCTCCATGTGTTACTGTGATAGTTTTTATTGTCAACTTGACAAATCTAGAATCACCTTGGAGACAAACTTTTGCACGTACGTGTGAGGAATGGCATCACTGGGCTCACTGAGGTAGGAAGACCCACCATGAAGTACGCAGTGCCATTCCTTGGGCTGTCATCTCAGACTGAATAAAAAGGAGAAGGCGGCATTAAACCATGTGAGCAAAATAAATGCTTCCTTCCCTAAGTTCCTTTAAGCATTTTGTCACAAGTAAGCTAAAATCAAAGTGGGTTTTGGCTAATTTACTTCTCAGGTGAAAGACCCCTTCCCCAGGACTTTCTGCTAAGTAAGGAGTCACAGAAAGTGTCTCCACAGAGTGTCTGTGTAAAAGGGCTTGAGAGAGGGCTGCTGCCACACTCTGGCTTAAGCAGAGGTTAAAATCCTTTTTCTAAAAGATTTACCGTTTAATATATATTGATGTCTTTCCTACACCCTACATACTGTATACCACATGCATGCCTAATGCCAACAGAGGCCAGAAGGGTCCCCTAGAATTAGAGTTACAGATGGTTGTGAGCCAACACATGGGTGCTGAGAACCAAACCTGGATCTTCTAGAATAACGATCCAGTCTCTTAACCTCAGAGCCACCTGTCAGACCCCAGAGGCTAGAGTCTGACACTATGTTGTTACAATTGGATTCAGTGTATCCAGGCAAGCTTGAGATGTTGTAAGCCTAACAAGTTGTGGGTGATGCTGAAGTTGATACTGATGTCGATATTGGTGCTGACGATGGAACTGGTGGTGATGATGTTGACGATGTTGCTAATAGTGATACTGAAGACGGTGGAGATGTTGGTGATGATGATGATGAAGATTCTGCTGATGCTGAAGATGGCATGGATGCTGGAGGTCATGCTGGTGCTGAGGCTCCAGCCCACTTGGTTTCACAAGGGGTCTGAGTCTGTGAGACAGGGTTTGCATAAGACCAGAAAGTGAAGACAAACAGGAATGATTTTCAAAAGCTCATCTTTCTTCCAAACATTTGTTGTTTTCAGCCATTTGCACCTGTTGAACAACCATGCCTGAGGGATGGTTGCTAAGAATACTTACTCAGGCTACAGTACCCTAGACATGTCAATACTTACCCAGCAAAATTCCTACAGAGCCCCGAGGAGTCACAACATGGGTTCTTTCTTGTTCAGGATCCAAAACCCAAATGCAGGAAGCTTGTGTGTGTGTGTGTGTGTGTGTGTGTGTGTGTGTGTGTGTGTGTGTTTTAAACCCCTCAAAAAACTCTGTTACTTCCCACCATAATGTAATATGTAATATGTGCTCTGGCTGAAGACAGACTCTACAGTGCTGTGCTGCAGTCTCTCCTATCCACCCACAGAACCAGTGTCCAGTGTTCATAGTGGGTAGTTCTGTGTGCCTTCTCCCATGTACATAGCACACAGGATCAAGTGTCCAGACAGAACCTCTGCATAGGTTAAATGGCCGCATGCCATCTCAGCAGGCAGGGATTTCAAATACGGTCGTGCAGAAGCCCCTACATATGAACACACTCCTGGAGACTAGGGTTACGTCAGCACTGACCTTGTAAACTCCCCAGCATGTCTGAGAAATCCACACTTGAGTGTTCATTTCAGCTTCTTAGATAATGTGTGGGATAATCGGGTTAGTTTGTTGGATGTTTCTTCTTCGAGCAAGGTCTTGCTGCATAGCCCAGGCTATCCTGGTACTCACAATCTTCCTGTTTCTGTCTCTCAAGCACTGGGATTGCAGGAATATACTGCCACATCTGGCCCACTTACTCTTCATTTGTTGAGAAGTTAGAAAATTCTTCATTTTGGAATTTTTTTATTTATGTATTTTTGGTTGGTTGGTTGGTTTTAGGTGCCAGGAACAAAACTCATTGCCTTACACATGCTAAGCAGTACTCTACCACTGAGCCACGCCCCAGCCCCTCACTGGGGGATTCTAGGCAGGGGCTCTACCTCCGAGCCAGCCCCAGCCCCTCACTGGGGGATTCTAGGCAGGGGCTCTACCACTGAGCCACACCCCAGCCCCTCACTGGGGGATTCTAGACAGGGGCTCTACCACTGAGCCACACCCCAGCCCCTCACTGGGGGATTCTAGGCAGGGCTCTACCACTGAGCCACACCCCAGCTCCTCACTGGGGGATTCTAGGAAGGTGTTATGCAACTTATCCATGGCCCCAGCCTCTCATAGGGTTCTAGGCAGAAGCTCTGCTGCTGAGCCACACCCCCATACCCCTGCACTTTGGATTTAACAAAGAACTCACACAGAAGGATGATGATAATGAAATTCCAGACTTGGACTTTGGAAATGCATTTAAATCCTGCTTGCTGTGGAGGTTGTCTTCCTTGTTTTGTGGGAAGGCCAGAAGTAGACATAGCTGGAGGAACAAGGTAAGCTTTGAGGTACAGGGAGAGCCTGCAGAGTCCTGCTGACCTTTTGGGCCATGAACAGAAGAAACTAAAAAATTTCCATGAGAAAGATAAGCTGACACCCCCAACACACACACACACACTCACACACACACACATACACACTCACACACATACACACTCACACACATACACAAATGCACACTCACACACATACACACACTCACACACATGTACACACACTCACACACATACACACTCACACACATACACACACTCACACACACACACTCACACACACACACTCACACACACACACACACATACACACACAGAGCCTCATAGCCTCGTCAATGGCGGAGCATAATGGACCAGCCATTTGCTCCTTGGCTCCCATCTTGTATCTCATGGTGGAGCCAAGGTTTCTGCCATCCGCTGGGGGTATTTTAAGCTTCTTGGCAGCCACACCACATTGTGCCTGCTCTCCCCAATGCCACTGGACAGTGCTTCTTTAGAAGGGTTGTGAAGAGAAGATGCAAGCCAGGCTATGCCTATGGGTAGATGGGGCCTGCCAGCCAGAAACACAGAACTAATAGAGCTTAGAGAGATGGGGAAATGCCAGTTCTCGAAGGAACTGCTTTGCACTAGGAGTCCCGCTACACTCACCCAGCATGCTGCAGAACCTGAGAAGCCAGCGGCTGACCCACTTCAAATCCAGAGTTCTGAGAGCAAGGTCTGCAGTCTGATGCAGGAGAAGAGGAAGGCTCAGCACGAGAGAGAGAGAGAGAGAGAGAGAGAGAGAGAGAGAGAGAGAGAGAGAGAGAGAGATCCTGAATGAGTTACTTTGTCCTTGCAGGGACAATATACCTGGTAAAGGCAACTTAAGGGAGGAAGGGCTCTTGTGGCTCACACCTCAGGGATACAGTCCATCACAGCGGGGAAGGCAGGGCAGCAGAGTGTGAAGCAGCAGGTCACTCTGCAACTGCGGTCAGGAAGCAGAGAGAGATGACTGCTGGTGTTCAGCTCCGCTTCAGGACCTCAGTCCTTGGGATGGTGCTACAAACATCCGGGGTGGGTCCCCTTCCTCAGTTTATCAATTTGTGCTTCTAAATGCCAGGAGACTGACCACCGAGTTTAACTATCATGTCTGGCCTGCTTTTACCTTACCCTGAATAGATCCATGGTGCCCACCAACGCTGATGACAGCGGGCTTTCTTCACTCAGTCCATATCAAATGCTCATACCTTTTAAGACACACCCAGATAGCCCTACCCCAACTGTCTGGACAGCCCTCCGCTCAAACAAACTGACACATAAAATTAACCACCACACAGACGATATGGCTACTGTGTGTAGAAACAGCCAGGGATTCACACTGGAAGCACAGTGAGGACCATTCCTCATCCTGGCCCCAAACTCCCCCTCTTCTACCTACAGCTGACTGCAGCATTCGGCCATGGGAAAACCCAGCCGGGACAGGTGGACAGAGGAGGGAAGAGTTAACAGGATGTCGGGCTCAGCTTTATGTGACTCTGTGTCTCCACTCTAGCTTCCATGGCGACTTCATTAGCAGCAAGCTGCTAATTAAATTTCATATTTATGATCAGAAAATAAAATCACTGGGCCTTTCTGAAATAGGATTTTATGAGTTTAGGCTCATGCAGCTGAGTCAGCAGGGGAGGGCCTGCCGCTGTTCTGACTCACAGTTTCAAAGCGAAAATAAATAACGTAAACAGGGCCAGGGTGTATCTGAGTCCCCTGAACTGGTTTATGATGGGCTTAAACAAGACAGACCCCCCCCACCCACTCTGACAGTGGAGCTCGTGCCTGAAGGCTTAAGTCTTGTGATGCTTGGGGCTTGAGGTTTGAACCTTCAATCCCTAATTGAAATAAGGGGGCTGTGCTTCTGGGTCCCCAAGCTTCTTCGGGAATGCTACTCTGTGTAGCTGGCTCTTTCCTGCTGTATGGAGGCATTCTTGCTGTCAGGCTCAGACTCGTACCCTGTGGTGTGAGCATGCAATCATGCTCCTACGCCACCTTCTTTTGTGTGGGGCCCAGCGGCTGCCATCTTCCTTGAGAGGCTTTCCAGGTGTCCTTCCCCTGTGGTCTCTCAGAGGTTTTCTACTCTGCTGCTGCCAATGAGAGAGGAGAAAACGACAGGGGTTGATTCTCTTACAGAGTGGAATTAGAGGTCCAAAATCAAGGTGTCGGTGGCCCTGGGGGACAAATTCTGCTGCCTCTTCCAGCTCTGTTGGTTCTTTGTTATGGGGTCTCCCTGTATATCTCAGGCTGGCCACAAACTCATGATTCCCCTGCCTCAGCCTCCCAAGTGCTGGCTAAGTAGCTCGTTCCCCTTCTAGCTTGTTATTTTTTGGTATATGTGTGTGATATATGTGCACTTATGTGTATATTTTGTAGAGTGTGAACATGTATGCACATATGTATGCATGTGTGTATGTATGCATGCATGTGTGTACAGAAGCCAGAGGATGCCAGGTGTCCTGCTCTATCACTGTCCCCCTTATTCTGATTTGTGTCACTGAACCTGGAGCTGAGCTGGTAGGCAGCAAGCCCCTGTAATCCTCCTGTTTCCACTCCTCACACTCCTGGGGTCACAAGCACAAACAACCATGCCTAGTCTTATGTGGGTTCTGGGGATCCAGGCTGAGGTCCTAAAATGGTCTTCCACAGTGTGTCATATCCCTGCTCCTACTTTCAGCTTGTGGTGGCTCCTGATCCAGTCGCTGCCCCTGTCTTCACTTCCCTTCTCTTGAGCTGTGTCATTTCCTCTTCTAGCAAAATCACTAGTCACTGGATGCAGGTCCGGTGTGGCCTCATCATAATCATGTCTGCAAAGCATCCATTGCTAAATAAGGTCATACTCTATGTAGACATGAACTAAGGAAGAATCATCATTCAGTGTCTATATTTGTTACTTTTCACTATCACCAAAATTCTTGAACAGAAGAAACATAGCAGGGATAGTTTATTTAGGTTTACAGTTTGATGGGATTTGGTGCATCGGGTTGAGGAAGACAGGATGAAGAAGACCCATTAACAGGGATGAAGACACTGATCTTTGCAGACAGTCAGGAGTGGACAGGAAAGGGGGTGAGGCTTTAAAACCTCAAAGCCCATCCTCAGTGGCTCACCTTCTCCAGCAAAGCTCTGCTTCCTAAAGGCTCCACAATAGCGCCACCACCTGGAGATAAAGTGAAAAAACATACAAGCCTATGGGGGACATTTCACATTCACTTCACAGCCCCCAAACGAGAGGTCCGTGTGGTGGGAAAGGTTGAGAGCAAGTGGGAAGTGAGGTGTAGGGTTGATATTTAGAAAACAGCACCTAGTCCGGCTTGTTTCTGGGCAGCCACCATGTTACTGCTGCTTCTCAGCTCTGACTGGGACTCTGGCTAGCTAGATGCGCACGCAGGCCCTGGCACCTACAAGATACCAGCGTGGGGGATGGCTCTGCCAATCCCCCACGCTGCATCCACAAAGCTCGGCTGAACCCCAATGTCTGCCATCCTCGCAGTACTCGGTAGAAATGAGACTCTTAAAGCTTAATGATTATCTAAAGGATTTATATATTTAGAAATGCTCAATCAACAAAATGCCCACACAACCTTTTGATAGAAGTTGCTACCCAGGACAGCTTTCGACCCATCCGTGGTTCTCCATGGTCCATAGCCTCCTTCTTCTCCTCCCCTTTCTCTATTTTTCTCCCAGCTCCACCTCCTGTTCTACTGACTAATCACCAAGCTCCACTGTGAATACAATGTAGCAGAATAAGTATCCTGCTACAGTGAGGCCCTACACATCAAGAACCCAGTGTTACCAGGGAAGGCCCAAGTTTCCAGAGCCTGACAAACCAAGTAACAAGGATGCTCTGAGGCTAGCCAACATCCCTCCTGTGACTGACATGCCCACTACACTGTATGTCTCCACAAGAAATGACAACACCTGTTCTCTTGAAGACTCGTGTCAGAGTTTTCCAGTCAAACAGTAACCCCAAATACCCGCTGACAGATCAATCAATGAATAATTGCGGTGCCCACATCAGCAAGCCACTGCTCGGTGACAGAGAGGAACAACCTACTGAAGCATAGTAGACCCAGTAAGTGCCAGGACATGGTGGGGATCATATTGGGGGGGTGTAAGGTGCTTTGGGCTCTGTGTTCACTAACAGCAAAGTCAGGAGAAGAGAGAAGAGTGCTGTGTGTACTGATAGATAGATAGATAGATGCCATTTTTTCTGGAATGTTCCAAGCCTCCATTCCCTTCTAGGTGGAATTCTTGGTCTCCTGGTTAAAGATCTGGCATGGCAGCAGGAACCAGTGCATAGGGCAGTGCCATCAAGGATGCTAGGGAAGAGAGGCTCCTGTCCTGCTCCTTGCACCCTTCTGCCACCCATGGCTCCTGCACCCCAGGCCTCTGTGCTCTGGCCCTGCAGCCTGTTCCTTACCCAGGAACAAATCATTCACAGACTCCACTTAGGCAATCATTTTAAGCAGCTGGTGGTTAGAGGTTTTTACTGTGTTTTCCTCCCTTTTTTATTATTTCTTTGCCATATGTGTTATGTAGTATATATGTGTGTGCATGTTTGTTTACACATGCACACTGGTGTGTGTGTACATGTGGGTTTAGAGAGCCCAGGTTAGTGTCAAGTGTCTCCCCAGATCATTTCTACTTTGTGTTCTTTTTCTCTGTGTGTATGATGTGTGTGTCTGTGTGACTGTTATGTGTGTGTATGATGTGTGTGTGTGTGTGTGTCTGTGATGTGTGTGTATGTCGTGTGTCTGTGATGTGTGTGTATGATGTGTATGTGTGTGTGTGTGTGATTGTATGTATATGGTGTATCTGTCTGTGATGTGTTTATGTCTGTATGTCTGTGATGTGTGTGTATGTGTGTGTGTGTGTGTGTGATTGTATGTGTATGGTGTATCTGTCTGTGATGTGTGTATGTCTGTGTGTCTGTGATGTGTGTATATGATGCGTGTGTCTGTGATTGTATGTGTATGATGTACCTGTCTATGTGTGTGTGTAATGTGTGTATGATACGTAGTATAAGGTATGTGTGGACACGTGTGCCACAGTCCTCCTGTGGAGGTCAGAGGACCACTCAGTGTTCTCTCACTCCATCTTTATGTTGGTGCTGGTGATCAAACTCAGGTCCTCGGGCTTGTGCGCCCAGCATCTTCCCTTGCTGAGCCATCTCTCCAGCCCTCTGCTGAATGTGGAGGCCACTGATTAGCTGGGCTGTTTAGCCGGTGAAACATAGAGGATTGCCCCACCCCCAACCACAGCGCTAGGATCATAAGCACCTGCCAAAGCCTAGCTTAGTTTTTGCTTTTTCTGTTGCGGAGACAGAGTCTCATACCATAGCCCAGGCTAGCCTCAAGCTTGCCATCCTTGCCTTAGCTTCTTAGCGGCTAGGATGACGGTGTGTACCACCACATCCGTCTTCAGGTTCTGCTCAGAATAAAACAAAAAGAGAAGTGTGCAGCCCACCACAGCCTCCCTCTGCACCTGCTAAAAATAGTTGTAGCCTCCTCAGAGTGCAGCACCCATGTGGGCTTCCGGGGGAGGCTGTGGCAGCCTGCCAGTGTCAGCACTTTCCGGGTGCCTTGCTCTCCGCAGCAGAGAACAGGGAATTTGAGAAACTCATGGACAGATGCCCCTGCCAGGCCCAGGATACAGCTGGAGTACAAACTCGTGAGTATATCCCCCACAATGCCTCTGTGGCACACATAAGCAGAGCCACTAGAGCTGTCTGTGTTCCGGGTCTACTAGTGCTAATAATCTCTATGCCTGGTCCCTTTGCTCTTGTCTGTGTGGGTGTGCTTGGGGCCTTTGAGCATGTCTCTTCACAGTTTTTACCCTCAATGCTTGGGATGCAACCCAGGTCCTTGTACATGCCAGGAAAGCTTTCTACCACTGAGCTACACACATCCCCCAGCCCTGAGGTTTTTGTGATTGGGACTCTGTGTGACCCAAAATGACCAGAGATCCTCCTGCCTCTTCCTGCCTCAGAATTCAGATGACAGGCATGTACCACCATGTGTGACCCCTTACTTTGTCACCTTATAAATTAGATGTGTAGTCCCAATGGCAGGGGATCCTACATCACACTGGGCTGGGCTTGTGCGGAGCCCAGAACTGGCCTGTGGAAGGCTCTCTACAAACCCTGATGTTTCGTGGGAACAATATGTTCCTATTTCTCCTGCTGTCACAGGTGGGTGCCTTGTTTCTTCTAACTAAGCACATTGTCACAGTTGAGGAGCTGGGTTGGTGCCCAAAGTGTGTTTTCTGGAAAGCTGGCCTGTTTGCAGCCCTCTCTAGGGAAGGGTAGATGAAATATGTCATGTCTGCTTCCAGAAACATCGCTTAGAAATGTGCCCCCCCCAGGCAATCCTCTCTGCTGGGGAAGGATTCGTTCCCGCTAGACAGCACCTCCAGTCCTGTCGGCTGGTTCCTGTGGGGTTGCTTATGCACATGCACGTGAGGAGAGGACTGGGGTGCTGTCTAGCAAAATGCCCAAGGCTGCCCTGGGACCTGAGAGCCATATCAGACATATGCATGTTGAGCCACTCCCCCCTAGAAGCCCTAAGCAAGGCTGGAGACCTCAAAGATGGTGTCCCCTTAGGAGCCACTGAAGCCCACCAGAATGTTTGAGTCCAGGCTAGAGGTTTGTTGGATGTTTCGGGAAGCATACCCGAAAAAGCTTTGGAAGAGGAAGAGAAGGTGACTAGGAAAGTAAAGCATTTATCTGTTAAGGATGAAGACCCAAGCTCAATCCCAAGACACGCTTTAAAAAGTAAAGTCAGAAAAGATGAGAGACTGAGGCAGGAGGATCCCTGGGAATTCATGGCTAGCTAGTATGCTTCCTTGGTGAAGTCCAGGCCAGTAAGAGACCCTATCTCAAAGGAAGACATCTGAGGTATGACAGTGACACCTGAGGTTGTCCTTCGACTTTCACACACACACACACACACATAAACACACAAATACATACACACATACACAAACACATACATACACACAAACACATACACACACAAATACACACATACATACACACAAACACATATATACACTCAAACACACATATACACACATATACACACATAACACACACAACCTGTGTACATCACACAGAGGAGCACCCACGCATGCTCATGCCATACTTATGCATAAAAGAAAGAGTGAGAGAGAGTTTAAAAGCTTCAAGATCTGTTTCTTCATCAGAGACAAGAGACAGTTTTATAGGATTACATTAACTTGAGTAGGTTGAAAGTTAACCAGAGCTGCAGTGACGGATCACACCTTAAGTCCCAGAACTTGGGAGGCTGAACTAGGAAGATCATGAGTTAGAGACCAATCTCAGTGACTTGTGAACTCTCGGCCAGCCTAGATAGAGAGGAAGACCCTCTCCCAAAAAGAACAGGAAAAAGTTGGAGGCTGGGGAGTGGCTCAGGCAGTTAAAGTAAAGCAAGAGGGTCAGAGTTCATATCTAGAACCCATGTAAAGGCTAGTGGGTATGTCAACCTGCTTAAAATTCCAACTTCAAAAGGTAGACACAGGGAATCCTTGGAGCAAGCTTACTATTGAGACTAGCTGTGTGGATGAGCTCTGGGTTTGATTGAGAGACCCTGCCTCAATGAATAAGGTGGAAGAGAAATTGAAAGTGATTTCCCAGCTTCATACATGAAAAAAGGAAGAGAGTGAGAGCAGGACAGACAGACAGAGCCAACAGGGCTTAGAGGTACCTTTGAAATAAGCATACAGTCACACTGTGGCGCAGACGGTTCAGGGCCACCTCGGTTGTCACACCTCCAGGTAGACCTCATCCTGAAGCTCACTGGAAACCATCAAGTCTGACTCACTGTGTAGACACTGACACTCCAGACAGAGGTGAAAAGACTTAGAGGCAGGAAGAGCACTTCCCGCAGCCCTGAGCCTGGGCAAGCTTCCGAGAGTACTTCTGACAGGTTTCTTGTTTCATTACTTGGGGTTGTATCGTTGGCACACACGTGAAAGGCTACTCACTGTCGTCTGACTTCCTGTCATCCAATGGCATGTCAAGAAATGAGACGTGGTTCCCTAGGCATGGACTCCCGAAGTCACCACCTGCATTCAGAGTCTGCGCACTGTGATCTTAGTAAACTGTAGGAAACACTGAACATCAAAAAGATGTGGTCTTCCGTTTACTGATATTCTCTCTCTCTCTCTCTCTCTCTCTCTCTCTCTCTCTCTCTCTCTCTCTCTCTCTC